GAATGAAAACATCGCCATGGCTGCAAACCTCGGGTTGCATTCCGGGTCGCCCCGCCAAGATACGGGTCTCTAAATTCTCTTGCCAAGTATCAATTGAAGCCTCAAAAATCACCCAAATTCAGTTCGCTCAAATACGAAAACATACCGATGATGCACAAAAATGGAAATGAATTCGAGCAAGAGGCCAGATTAAACGAAGAACCAAAAGCACTGACCAGACAAAAGATGAAGGAGATATACATACATACATAAAAGAGACAACCAGGGTTAGAACTTGGAAGAAACAAAAATATTAACTCCGTGTCCGTATCCACGTTGGAAAGTTTCACATTGGGTGTCAAGAACATTAAAACTCGAGATTTTTTGGTTAGAAATGAAAAAATACTTACCACTATGGGTGGGCATGGTATGGTATATATCGAATTATCATACTATATCGAAATTTTTAATACCGTAATTTTGTTATTTTGATATTTGGTATGGTATATGGTATACATTTTAATTTTTCAGTATTCGATATGGTATTTAGTATTTAGAAATAACATACCAAAATATCAAATATCATACCGAAGTATATAGTTACATAAATAACATAGGGATAAGGCACAAGTATCCCCTAAATCTCAAAGACGCACATCAACTTAGCAGGGGTTCTATTACCCACTAAACTCATTTTTACGTATTTTGTGTTGACGTGGTACCTTCAACAACCCAGGTTGGCTGTGTTTGTATACGCTTGCCTGCCATGTGCGTAAATATTTTATTTTATTATTATTTTTAAAAAACAAATTTGTTTTCAATTTTTTTTTGAAAAAATAATCTTATTTTCTTTATCTTATATTTAAATTAAGTTAATACGCATTTTTTTACCTTGTATCGATTTTCTTTTTTTTACTTCATTCATTGTTTTTCTCTTTTATTTTTCTTTGATTTTATTTTCGTTGTCATTCGTTTTGATTTAATTTCAAATTATATTCAAATGTCTTGTATTTAAAATAAGTTAATTTTGAACGGATATCAAAATAAATGAAGAAAATAAAATTAAACATAAAAAATTAAAATGTTAAAATTGAAGGACACTTTTAAATTATTATTTTTTAAAATACACATAGTTTTTTAAAAAAAAATTAAAAGTGAAATGATTATAAATTAATTTAAAAAATGTTTAAAGTGATGAAGAAGTTCAAATAAATATTTTTAAATAAAGAAATAAAAATAATGAAATATATATATACTTATATATGTTTTAATATCAATAAATATGTGTATTAACTAATCATAAAGTTATCAATAAAAAAATGACATGTGTCCAATTTATGCACTCATCACTTGTCTTCAAAAGAGTGTGCACACTCTTGATGTCATGTTAGCGTTTGTGGTGTATTTATTCCATTTTAAATTAGCACGCGCACACACACATTATTATTATTAAAATACTAACAAATATGCAACCTAGTATTAGTATAAATGTTTAGAAGTTGAAACTTTGATTACTCTATTTTGATTGAAATGTATTTGAAATTTAGGGTCTGTTTGGCTATGCGTTGTAAAATTATGATTTGAAATCATGAAATGAAGTTGAAGTTTTGTTTGGACATAAGATTTGAACTTTTCATGTTGTATCTTTTCTCATGAACATAAAACCCCATAAGTTGTAAAACTATTAAAATCGTCTCAATTCTCTATACAATCTTACCAAATAAGAACGAATTTAAAAAATTGCATTAGTACACTATCACAAAGGTATTCTTAAAAAATACAATATTTATTGATCAAGTTTTTTTAGTTCAATAAAAAATCAAATTAAACATAAGTTACGATGTACTAGTCTTTAATATAATCTTCCCACATAGTACGGACAATCTTCTCACGTTGAACTTGTATTTCTCGTTCATATGACTAAGAAGACGGAACCAAAATTGTTACTTTGAGTAATTTGTTGGTCAATTTGATTGGTAAATATATTTGATAAAAAATAATAAATTTGGTGAATATAAATGGTAAAGTAGAAAATGATTTGAAGTTACAATAACTTTATGTTAGTGAGAATATTCATTACATGAGAATTTCCTATAAGTATTTGTGGTGAAGTATAAACATTGGTGAATTCAATACAAATATTTGTGGAGAAAGTATTTATCGTAAAATTTCCAACAAATTTACGGCGAAGAAAATAGCGATTTAGGTAGGAGCTAAGTATCTGAAGCAAAATATTCCAATCTCCCATGGCCTATTTGACTATTTACTCAATATTGTTTTTTTTTCAAGTTAAAGCTTGACAATCTAGAAGTGCCCAAAAGCAGGTGAGCTATGTTTTCAATAGAAAAAATAGGTGTGTATATATATAAAATACTTTAAATGAAAAAAAGTAAATAAAGAACAAATAATAAACTAAGTCAATAAGTTAGTTGCAAAATACGTTGGGTTAGGTACAACGACCCTATGGAGAATGTCCAACAAATCCATTGAAAGTTAGATGAATGTGTCAAATTGAAGCAATTTATATATGTTTTTTTTACGTAATTGAGACCATTATAAATTTTTGCAGTAATATTTATAGGTAGAGTTTGAAAAAAATGGTTTTTGTTTTTATCCCGGATGGATATATCTAGTGGCTAGTGCATTAGTTACATGATGGAATTTAATAACTTCGGTTCAGATGAACCGAAGTGCACAAATAATTAATTTGGGATTATTGTTAAGTTAAGTGATATTCGTAGTGTATAAAAATTTACAAGTTTACTCATTTGAAACAATATCATATAAGCTTGTCTGAAGTATTATATAACCAAAATTTTTAGATAAAAATGATTAAGCTTCAGTCATATGCACATGAACTTTAATTTCTGCAAAAAGTAATGAATTCAACCGCATAGATTAAACTGAAGTTTTGACAAAGATAGCTAAATTTTGGCCATATATGCATGAATTTCGGATAAAAGTACTCATTGCATTCAGTTATATATGATTGAAACTCAAATAAAAATGAAAAACTTTAATCACATGTGTTTAAAATTTTAATGACTTAACTTTAACCGTATAAAATGCTTCAAATATCACATGTGTGTAATTGTTTCAAAATGGATACACGTGCAAAATTTTAAACATATTGGGTACAATATATGGTGTCCAATTAGAATACTCCATAAAAATATTACAATTGAGACGTCATATATATTAAAAATTCAACTAAATTAGTATAAAAAGTAGATTTTTAACTAACTTGAATTAAATAAATTATAATAAAGTATCAAAGTTAAATTTATAAAATCCAAAGTTTTATATGTGCCTTTATTTATTTCTATAATAATATATATTAGGTGTGTAGTTGTCAGTTTCAAATTAGACATAATTATATGTTCATGAGAAAAAGAATAGTCGGGAAAAAAAGGAAAAGATATACACATATTTTATTGAATTCAATTTTTATTTTTATTTTGTTAATGAATTCAAACTTCAAACACACCACATGCCATGAATTATTGAGTTTAAAACCATAATAATTGACAATTTATAAAAACTTTGTGATTTTTAGAAACTTATAAAATTACACAATATGACCTTGATTTATATTACAAGACAAACATTATCACTCAAAATATGGTGGGATGAATGAGATAAAAAAACTCAATTTCGAACTATGAGAATGAAAAAAATAAATACTATTAATAGATACAAGATACTTATCTTTAATTAGTCGTATATAGTCTGAATCTAAATTAACCAAGTCAATAAATTTTAGTGATAATTATTATTATTTTTTTTAATAAAAAGTTCAAACTGATTAATTAAAGATATTATCATTCACAAGGTGCAAAGCATGAAACTATAAACATGTCTACAAAAAACACATAAGAATAACCCCAAATATGACCTTAGTTTACAAAACAACATAAGCATAACTCCAAATATAATCTTAGTTTCTGTAATTAATTAAAATTTTCAAATTCGAATCAATAGAATAAAAGATATTTCTAATACGATGTACTTTTCCTTTATAAGTCACTACACAAATTAAATTAATATGATCGATAAATTCCGAATAATATAGTAGAGAGCCATAAACATGTTTACATGGACACACAAAGCATAACCCTAAATATATCAAACATTTAACTTGGTCAAAATCCTAAGTACGGTTCAACTACTCACTATATATGTAAAACTTTGTGCTCATCACATTAACAAATATTTTTTTTTTATACAGATATCATCACTTCACTTTTGATTAAGAAAGAATCACAGAAAGTTGCATATTGATTAAGCAGAAAAAAATAAATTAAAATGCACTTTCAAAAAACAGTTTGATGCATAAAATATCTCGCACTAGTAAAAGCTGAAAAAAGGCCACACCCAAGATATGTGAGGTAGACAACCTAATTTACGTCAATTCTTTTTTAAAAAAACTTTAGAAGATAAATGTAAAATATATGTCTTATATTATATTTATTAATTCGATGTAAATTACGGACGAGCAAGTTTTTTTCTAAAAAATAACCATACAATTTTCTTTTGTTTCTATTTTTGCTCTTTGTTCTTATGTTTTGAACACATTTATTAAAGATATACATATCACATATTTGGTCCCTAAATTGTGAAAAGTATACACTTAAAACACAAAATAATTAATTTTTGAAAGTATACACTTAAAACACTTGGTCAATACTAATTATTACTCAAATTTTTTTTAAAAATTTATCGGCCAAACACAAATAATTTCGTAGTAAAAGTATTTTTTTTAAAAGCAATTTCCAAAATAAGCTAATTTTAAAAGCTTGACCAAACAAATTATAAAAGTCTCGAATTCGAATACTAATACGAAGTCATCTTTGATAAGAAACTTCTACCTCTTACAATGAGATATTTTGGTAGGAATCTTAATTAATTAGTTAAGCTCCAAAATAAGTACCGACATCGTAAAAACAAAAAGAAGAACCAAAGTATATATTTTAATAAAAGTATTTTATTCAAATAAATAACTTAAACTATTTATAGAAGAAAAAATAAAGGCTACAAAAGGTATTGAGTGTAGGAAGTTACCAGCTCGTCGGCAAAGCTAATCATCTTCGTATGAATCAATCAACTTGACTTTATCGTCTCTTCAAAGCCACCTAAACTCATTTTTCTTCTCTACCCATTGTTTACAATCGGAATTTAAACTTTCCGGCATCAATTTCCAGCATTCTTGATTTTCCGGCGAGATGACCGGAGGAGTTCATTCACAACCGGAGATCCAAATCCAGGTCCATTCAAGGAAAGGGGGTAACTCAGTATACCCAGTAGAGCCAGCTACGACAACAACAGCATCATCAGGAGGACCTGCTTTTTATAGAGAAATTAAGCATTTCAAGAAATGGTTTCCATGGTTGATACCATCTTTTGTTATAGTCAATGTAGTGACATTTTTGGTGACCATGTATGTGAATAACTGCCCCCACAACTCTGTTTCTTGTTATGCTGGATTCTTGGGTAGATTTTCATTTCAGCCCTTCAGTGAAAATCCTCTTCTTGGGCCTTCTTCTACCACGTATGTATCTCTTTCTTATCTTTTTTTTTTTCCTTCTATAATTTGATTGAAGTATTTGTTTGTGAAATTTGTAAGCTTTTTGGTGTACTCATGATCCTCTCTTTAAGAGGAAATCAATTGGGAGTTCCGAAGGGTAAGGGTGTGGCCTAGTGATCAATGAAGTGAATTGAGCATCTTGAGCTCTTATTCAAATCCCAGCCAGCAAAGATAAAATACCACGTGATTTCTTCCCATCCGTCTTAGCGTTGGTGGACAGAGTTACCTGTTGCTTGTTGCTGGTGGGTGGTGGTGGAGTATCCCTCGGAATTAGTCGAGGTGCGCGCAAACTGGCCCGGACATCAGGACACCAAGTTTATCAAAAAAATAAAATAAAGGGATGGGTGAGTGGTTGAGCTGTAGGAGAAAAACATTTATATTCCAGGTAGTAGTTGGTGGGCAGGTTTACCAGCACCTATACTTGTGGGCTGTAGCAGGTTGCCTGGTCAATTAGTGGAGGGACAGCACTGCAGCCTAAGGGATGGATAGGATGGGGAACTTGTGGAAGTGTCAATTTTATGACAAGTTGAAGGTTTGTTTAATTATGTGTGTGGTAGAGTTCATGTTGTTTGAACAAGCTTGAATAAGATGAAATAATACTCAATTTGATTATAGATGTGCCCTTTTTGATCAAGTTCTCAAGAGCCTGGGCTCTATGATAGACTTTATTTAGATGAGCTTATGTAGAAAGAGAACTGGATCAATACTCTCATCTGAGGTTTGACTACCAAATCTTCTGTCTTGGATAGTTGTAGAAAAGGATTTAAGTGGTACAGATTGAGTTAGGCACACAGGAGGTGCAGAAAGTAAGCGGGATCAATGAGAGATTTCACATGCTTTTCCGTCTTGCTTCCAGTGCTGTATCTGATAACTCTCCAGGCATTCTTTTGTCCTCTTTTATGAGGATCCAAATCAAGCTACATGGAGCTTTTTATTGAAGTTTGTGCTTTAATGTACTTAGCTTCACTTTGTACCATAAGTTGCACTTAAGTTTCTAGCTTCATATTGCATCAACAGAGAGTGAGAAATTGAACAAAAAATGACGACCCTAATGCAGAAAAAGCAAAAACAAATTAACTGGCTCGGACTCTTAGTTAGACATGCAGCATCTTTTGGGAAATTTCTTCACCTTATATGGAGTTCTTTTTCCTTGTGTGAAGATAATTTTGTGAGCACCAGATCACTATAACCCCTTTGTGGTAAAATTGTACTTTGAGGTAGCTTTTCTAGGGAGAGAACCATCAGTAAGGCTACACTTATTGTAAAGTTTATTGGATGTTGCATATTTAAGGCTGATCTTTTACTTGAATGCTACAACTTGTTGCAGAAGATTAAAACTTTGCATTCACAATCTAATTTTGTTTTGACCGATGAATTTGTTAAAAGGGAGGAAAAGAAGAGAGGTAAGACTGCTTATTGAATCGCTTTGTGTTGAACAATAAATAGGAGGACTCCTTGTATTGACGGTACTAATAGAGTGGAGTGTAAGTAGACCTTACCACTGACTTAATTGCAAAAGGCGCAAATGGAGAATAAATACAAATGTGTTTGCTTAGTCCAAGACTAATAATTATAAGCATTATATGGACAAAGAAATTGAAAAAACAACAACAATTAAGTGAAATATTAGCTGTTTAGTGTCGCCTCTTCAGGAACTGCTCATTGACAAGGAAAAGTATGTCTCATTGCCCCTTGATGACGACATTGAAGTGCACATTAAGCGACCCGAAACGCTCAACATATTTTGAGCCTCACTTAGGGCTTAAGCGTGCCTTTGACACGCTGTTTCATAACAATTCCTACACTACATGTAATCTCTAAGCAAACTAAAAAGGCTCATGTCAAATGGCAGAGTTATTGTTTTTTGAGAATGCATGAAGCACCTGAGTTATTGTCAGTGTGTTAATATCAATTAAACCACAACCCAACCTGATTGTATTGACTATATAGATATTTTGCTTCCGGTGTGTTTATGATTTGCTAAAACGGCACAGATTCAAGAGATTATAGATCTTTTGAAAGAACTTCCATTGATGCGATTAGAGGTCTAACTTATCCTACTTTAGTACATTAACATCCTTATAAAAAATTCTTTTAGTACTTTCAATATTCGTCATACCATCTATGAGCCGGTACATTTGACCAGTCATGCACTTCAATATTGATGATCAAATTTCTGTAACTTGTTGATCTCTTACTGCATTGAGGTTGATGAATGAATTTGTGGCATTCATTTTTTTTCTTGATTTTCTATGTTAGTGAATTGATTCTTCTTGCTTAAACTAAGCTACACTGGAATAGATAAACATCAAACATGTATAAAGCTGTTTATCTTTTCCTTTTTGTTTAGGCTAGAGAAGATGGGTGCTCTAGATGTGAATAAGGTGGTCCGCGAACATCAAGGGTGGCGCCTTATTACTTGCATGTGGTTGCATGGTGGAGTTTTTCATTTACTGGCCAACATGCTGAGTCTTCTGGTGATTGGCATTCGGCTGGAGCGAGAGTTTGGATTTGGTATGTTGTAAATAACAGAGCTTTTACCTGCATTTACATTTCGTTTTTTCTCTACGTTTTGTGCTATCAAAGATCTAAAAAACTTTTATCTTATAGCAGATTCACATTAGATGTTATGTTGCATTTCCAAAAGTACTTGAGATTTTAGAAGCTAAGACTTAGCTGCTACAACTTTCATTCATTTGTTAGTCACAAGATTTATAAGCTCATTCTTCCATTTGCTGATATTAGAAATGTCTGATAATGTTGCATCTCACATTTTCGCTCATAAAGCTAAGAAAATTTCATATAACGGAGGCCAAAATGAGCCCGCATACAAGAAATATACCCCCCCAAAAAAAAGAAAACCTTGTACAATATGGTTTTCTGCTAAAGACAATCTTCTATACATATAAGAACCTAGGAACCTCATGGATGCTAAAAATATATGGGTTAAGAGGTTATTCCTCAAGTGTACAAAATCTTTCTCTACTATATGAAAAGCTCTTCCTCTTCTCTGCCTCTGTTTGATCGACATAAGTGCTAAAGTAGCAACATCTCATGCCTTGGGTGTACTCTGCCGTTTTTCTAAGAATCCAACTAAACATTGCTTCTTTAATAGTACATTACATCACCAATTGAAGTCCAAACCATCTCAGTATTTACCGCTACAAGCGAGGTGCTATCCAACAATGTAAAAGGAGATGATTCATGCCTTCTCCTGAGCTTTTACACAATAAGCATCAACATAAGTAATCATTCTTTTCTTTAATCTCAACCGTCAAGATCACCCCTTGCGGCTAGCCATGAAGTTAAGTTACTTTTCTCTTCTTTAATTCTCGATCGTCAAGATCACCCCCTTGAAGCTTGCCTAGTGGAAAAACACATTTTTCTTGGCTCAGGAGCTTCTCATAATATGACTTAACTAGAAGATACCATTATTCTCCATCCCATCTCCATTCATCATGGCTAACCTGTGAAATACTTTGTTTGTGAAGCAATTCAGTTGTCCTCAAAAACTTACCCGGTTTCCATCATCCATCCTGAATGATACATTCCCATTGAATTCTTCATACTCCTTCAAGATATTCTAACATAGTCCACACTCATAATGAAGTGTGATATCTTTAGTCCTCCAACCCCCCTTCCGAGATCCCATATTTTTTGTGGTTACCCCATCCAAAAAGCATTCTCCTCTATCCCGAACTCCATAGCCACTTCCCAAATAGCATCTTATACTCTTATTAATTACCTTCAAATCATTAATCCCAAAGTCCACTTGAACACTTCGGTTTCGTGACTGTTTGTCTCCCAATTTACCAAGTGGAACTTCCTATCCGCACTTGAAGCATCCCATAGGAAATTCCTTTTAAGTTTTTCGACTTTCTTGTGCTACCGAGTACTAACTTGAGCATGGAACAAGGATATGAAAAATGTCGGAATACTCAATAGAGTACCCTTAGTTGACACTTTCTTTCCCCTTGGATAAGTATCTCTTTTGCCAACATGTGAGCTCCTTTATACCCTCTCTATCACGGGCATACAAGCTGGTTGGTCCTTACTGGTGCTCCTAGTGGTATACCAAGTAGGTAGAAGGAAGAGCCCTGCCTTGCAATTAAACACTTGTGCTAAGAAGTAAGACCTCAATCTTCTCCACCTTGCTAACTGGGATGATTTCTCCTTTTATAACCACTCTGAACAATGTCAACACTTGTCACAAGTAAGCCAACTGAGCTCTGTTAGCATTACAAAATACTAAAGTGTCATATACAAACAATAGGTGAGACATGCTTACAGTATTATGTCCATCAAGCGCTGTGAAAAAACCCTTATGTAACCTCCTACAGCAGCTCTATCCACCACCTTGCTCAGTTCTTCCATCATTAGTATGAGCAACATAGAGGATAGAGGGCCGGCCTTGTCTCACTCGTCTCGAACCACTGAAGGAACTAAACAGTTTGCCGAGCACTAGGACCAAACACCTAGTTGTTGAAATGTAACATTTGATCCACTTCCTCCATCTTGCGCCAAAGTCTCTTCAACCTAATGAAATCAAGAAACACTCCCAGTTTACAAGATTGTAGGTCTTCTCAAGATCCAATTTGCACAAAATCCTTGATTTCCTTTGCTTTCTTCTTTGAATCAACGTCTTCATTTGCCACCTATACTGCATCTAAGAATTTGTCCGCCTTCCCCAAATACACTCTGCAAAATAGATACCGTTTTATCTAAGACCTTCTTTAGTTTATTGGGTAACACTTTAGACATAATATTCCTTGTCAAAAAAACACTTCAGACATAATCGTACCATCTCCTCATCTTTGACTATATTCCAAGACAGCTGGAAAAATGCTGAAGTGAATCATCTGGCCCTGAAGCTTTACTCTCCTGCACAGCACTTGACCGCTCCCTGTGCCTTGTCTTCCCCAATAGATTGCAAAAAAGGTAAAAGAAAGCAAGTGATATGAATTCTCCTGCAATTTTGTTTGGTGCAGCAGATTTATTGGACCTCAACTTTCTAGTTTTCATTGAAAACAAGTTTCTGCAACAGTTTCAGGTATTCAAGGCTAAACAAATACATCACTTTTCTTTTCTATAATAAAATATCCTTCACTTAAACAGGCACATTTTCAGAAAATCCTTTTGCGTCCTTTTTTTTGAAATGGTAATATGTTTTTGATAAAGATGAAATGGTAACATTTTTGTATTAAGATCAACAGGGCCTGTGGAGGCCAAAATTACATGAGAAGTAAACTAAATATAAGTTATACAAAAAGGCTAATTAAACAAAAACTATAGTGACTCTGTGTGACTGTGTCAGTTATATACTCTTGTTTCCTCTGAAAATGCAAAAGCAGAATACAAATTAAACTTTATCTTCTGGAGAGGGTTACTTTTGTTCTCAAAACATCTTGAATTCCTCTCCTTCCAGATAGTCCTCCATATGCAGCCTAGGATCATACTCCAACTAGCTTTTTAAGCTTTTGTTCCTCCCTTTCTACTCCAACTAGCTAGCATATCTAGTGTATTCATTTTCATTGTCCAGCTCAAACCAATCATAGCTGGAAATATGTCCCACAATTGAGAAGTCACCTTACAGTGCAGAAAAAGATGACTATTTGTTTCTGCATTTCCTCCATGCAGATGGCAAATAGAGCAAAGGTACATTCCTCTGCAGTCTGCCTTGTGTCACACAGGCCCTCTTAACTGCTAACCAAACATAACATGCCACTTTGTATGGTATCTTGGTCATCCATAAGTGCTTCCAGAACCACTACACATTAAGGTTGTTGTTCTTCCTCATATGATATGGTGTCTTGACTGAAAAGATATGTGAACTGTCTCTCAACCACCATAATCTATCTTGTTCTAGTGAGACTCTTTTGAAGAGATTGAGAATGTTGAGGAATTCTTTGAATATTTCCATCTCCTAGTCATTTGGAAGCCTTCTGAAACTGAGGTCCCAGCCTTGGTTACTCCAAACTTCACTGATATTAGCTCTTTGTTGTTGATTCAGTATGAAAACAACTGGAAATAGAAGTATGAGTGGACCAGAAGTGAATTTGATTGTAACTGCTGTGAAGAGCTAGATCCACCTCTGGGTTCTCAACTTAATCTTTCTTGTGTTGGTGTATGTGATCTCTGACCTGTTATTCAGAAGTAGCTGAGACTACTGTTTGCTTATTTTTCTTTGTTTTGTCTTGTAGTACGCATTGGCGTGCTCTATATCATCGCCGGACTTGGTGGCAGTTTGTTCTCAGCTCTATTTATTAAGTCAAATATATCTGTTGGTGCTTCTGGTGCACTTTTTGGGTTGCTGGGAAGCATGCTTTCAGAGCTCATAATCAATTGGACCATATATGCCAATAAGGTATCTATCAAACAGTTCTCATCACAGTTCACACCTTCCATTAATGATGGGTTTGTTGCTCACTTGATTGAGAAATCATCTTATTAGCCCTTTGACTTCTTGTTTCCCCTTTTCTGCAGATTGCAGTTTTAGTGACCCTTGTGGTCATCATTATTATAAATCTGGCAGTTGGACTTCTCCCGCACGTTGACAACTTCGCTCATATTGGAGGATTTGTGTCTGGTTTTCTTCTTGGTTTCGTATTTCTGATCCGGCCCCAGTTTGGCTGGGTGAGCCAGAGATATGCATCCAGAGCATATTCAACATCGGCTAAACCGAAATTCAAGATGTATCAAATGGTTCTATGGGTTGTTTCTCTTATTCTTCTGATAATTGGGTAAGTTTCGTTGGTGCTGCACCTTGTTTTTCCTATTCTGTCATGTTTCAATTAGGCTGCAGAAGAAGTTTTTATATACATCTTTGATAGTGGGTCATTAAACTACAGTGTTTAATATTCACACATTTTGCATTTTTTATCATGTTAACATTCTTTTTACCAGTCCTTTTTTTCATTTTGTCATCTCTTTTATTTCGTTTCTGCCCTAGTTTGAGAAACTAAAAGCAAAAAAGAAGAAAATACGTAGAATTTTCATTCCTAGACAAGTTTCTGCTGTTGGTGCTGGTTATATCTGCTATTGTTATGAACCTAATGGGTCTAAGTCTAGTGACAAAGTACTACTAATATGTAAGTAGTGATAATGAAACTTATGTTACTACTTCCCCAAGGCACCGGGGTGTGACTTCCCAGGATATAGAGGGTTGAGTAACAAAATTTAGATAGACCGGATTTCCGAGTTTATCATTTTACCCACTTAGTTTGGGGTAGCACGGGCCACGAAGGAAGTGATGGTAGTTGGTAGGAGGAGCACCCCTTAGATGTCTCTCTCTGTTAGTTTTATGCCTTTAAATGCTTATAACACTAAGCTGTAGTCATTCTAATTGGAAAAAAACAGATAAATAAAACCAAGTTGTTTTCCTTCCATGACTTGAGTGATACTTATTAATTACCTTTTGATCAATGGATCTCGACTAAGTGAATCACTTATTTGTTGCCAAGCAACTGCAGTCTCCACCACGTGCCTAAGTGACATGTTATTTGTAGGATATAGGTCCCATTACTCTACTCTACTGTTATCGATTACTTCATGGTTCCATTCCCATGGTTTTGACAACAATAGCTGTTAAATGATAAACTTCAGATATATCTGATCATATTGTATCAGGTACGCAAAAATGTGTAATTTAGGTCCACAAGCACCAAGAATTAGAATTAAACACGTGATGCTGCAGATCTTTAGTGGCAAACACTTAGATGGTTAAATAATATGGCCATTTTGATAAGGAAGATTCTGAATTTGATCCGACTTAGTCATCTCACTAGTTGAAAGCAATATGTTTTAGCTGTACAACTGGTTAATAATTTATTTTCTCCTTGCTGCAGGTTCACTAGTGGCTTGGTCATGCTTTTCCGCGGGGTAGATTTAAATGATCACTGTTCTTGGTGCCATTATATGAGTTGTCTACCCACTTCAAGGTGGAGCTGCAACACAGAGCCTGTTTCCTGTATGGTAAGAAGTTACTGAATTTCTCGTTTTCACAAATCTGAATAAATCTCCTTCACTATCATGACATGAAACATTCATTTTCCAATTCCATAGTTACAGAACTCAGGTTAGGAAAATGGGCATCTTCCATAGGATGTAAAGTTGCACTACTATACTTTCAATTAAAAAAGAAAATCATCTTATCGAAATTTTAAGGATTTTTGCGTGTTTAGTCGCTTAGACGACTTCTGAAAGCAATCATGCTGTATTAGATGTTTTGATATTTGTGATTTGGCGAGTTGAACTTGATTTCATTCTTGCAGTCCGAGCAAACGAGTAACCAGCTCACATTGACATGCTCCAACAGTAACAAGACGAGAACATATTCATTGTCGAATCCAAGTACGTCTAAGATCCAGGGACTGTGTACTCAGCTGTGCCGTTGAATAGCCATCACTTACAATTTGTTTGTAAATTGATGTCATTTCAGAAATCTTACATAACATCTGATCCAACTGTTATTTTTGTTTGTATTGGACAACATTCTTATATAGTATAAGAAAAAAGTTCATATTGGAAGCTTTATAATGTCAATAGTGAAATCAAATATTTATTTAAACAACTTGCTGAAATGGTTTATGATCCTTTTGTTGTTGAGAAAAGGGAAATGGGTTTACCCTTCGGGGTGGCCCAGTGGTTTGGGCTTGAGACTTCCATATTGGAGGTCTCAAGTTCAAAACCCCTTTCCAGCGAAAGCCAAGGGTTTGCCTTTTGGGTTGAGCTCGTCGCATCGGGTTTGCCTAGTGCGGCTTACCTCTCCTATGTGGTTTGCAAGCTATTGCATAGGAGCGAGGGTTTTACCTTGTGCGCACCCAAAGGATAGTGGCTGCGGATTTCCCTTGTCATATAAAAAAAGGGAAGTGAGTCGGGTTTAATTAGGTTGATTCCTTAAGTGTCATTGAGATCGGCCTTTTATCCTAGTGAATGATGTTTTTTTATAGACTAGTCATGGACACCTGTGAGCCATGTTAAGTTGTATCATTCTTGTTGCTACCTCAATCATTATGTTCTACCGGTCTCACTGTCTAAGAGTTATAATTAGTAAAATGACATCTTTTAGTAGTTATTCCTACTACAACCCATAAAATAGGATAAGAGGAGAAGTATAACCAAATTACATGTTTTGAGTTCTCTCTTTTATTTGATTTTGTGTAGTTTTTCTTGAACAATTCTATTCGGGTCTATTACGAAAGCAAACAAAGATTACATGTTTTTAAATTTAAAAAGAAAGAGAATTATTGTGATATTCAAAATCATAAAAGTTATAAGAGACATGCACAAACATCCTTAGACCACAAAGTAACATGGTGAATATAATATTAAGCCAACTATTATTAAATATTAATAATAAAGTAGAAATAAAGCAATTCACGTTATATTAGAGTAGTAAAGCAATCTCCTATAAAGGAAAAAAGTAATTAACCATTACTTTATTCGTAATCTCACAAGTATAAGTTTCAAAATGGTAGGGAATTAGCAGAAAATATGGGGAAAAATAACCTGAGCGTTGTAGTTGTCGTTGAGAGTTGACAAAGAGAAGAAGAGAAAATTGATAAAATGATGGAAGTGATTTAACACTTTGCCACTTTGGTGTCGACTTTTATAAAGTATTGTATAATATATGTAAATGATATGCATAAATGTTAATATAATTAAAAACTTCTTGACCACATTTTCTACTCTATAGAAAAATAACAGAGAATAGAAAAATGCTTGTAACACACTATAATCATTGCAGCAACAAAAATAACTTTCAAGTGTAAATTGTAGATGAACTATAAAGTAATAATGAATCTATTAGATAAAAACTTACCAAATATCTCCATCAACTCGTGGAATTAAATAGAAAGAGAACTATAATATCATCATCATCGTTGGTAATTACTCTAATTTAATTTCAACATGTGATACATAATTCTCTGAAGATGGAAAAAGACTTAAAAACTACCACAATATAATTGGAATGAACTCAGAGACCACTATATATAATTAGATTAAAAGTTGAGTGGTCAAGTAGAGAGTTGGAAAGGACAAAAATAAATAGCAAATTAAATATAATTTATACTTATAATGGTATATATACTTCTAGTAACAGTTGGCAAAATGATACAAAGAGATCTCATTAAATTTGTGAAGAAAAATGAGGAGGGGGCAAGGGAGGATTTACCAGAGAAGCCGTTTTTTATTTATTCAATGCTAAGCTCCCTTACCAGCTTTATTCTATATCTTTTCTTCTTTGAGTCATTAAAGTTGTTTACTCTATCTAATTAAATTGAATCTCTTCCTCTCGTTATTTAAGATATAATTATTGTATATAGTGAAAGATGTAATTCAATTCCAAAATCTCCTCCTCTTCCTTTATTTAAGGCTCATAAATCATACTCTAATCATTTTGATTAGGAAAATCATTTCGAAAATTGAGATTTTATTGAAATACGGATGAAAGTTAAAAAAATATGGAAAAAAGAAATTAAAAACATATATAGATGCTGAGCTTTGGAGGTGTGAAATCACCATTTTCATTTCCCAACTATATAGTTATATATAGATTTTCTAAACTAAATTTCGAGTAAAATTAGAATTGCACGGTTAGTAATTTTTTTTTCTAAAACAAATAAATAGAATGAAGTTGAAGCAAAGAGATCTAGGGCCGTTAATTAGTTTTTAATGAAATGATAAAGATGAGAAAAGTTTTTCGGTATAAATGAATTAATGATGTGCCAAACTATATTTATAATTTTTTAGTTTATAAAGAGTAAAAATACACTTACCCACTTTTATTATAATAATAATAATAATAATAATAATAATAATAATAATAATAATAATATGATTACTATTTAATGTTTAATTAAGAAAATTCAAAAGTCATTACTATTTAATTTAACTTATTATAACATTTTAATTTATAGGAGGGTAAAACCGTAATTTAACTTTTGACTCGAGTTCTTCCCACTTATAATATAATATATATATATATATATATATATATATATATATATATATATGATAAGGCATTTTGGTAAAACAAATTTTTTATATCTTTTACAATAAATACAACAAGAACTAATCATAAATTTCGATTTCAAGTCATAGCTTTCAAATGATTCATGTAAAAATGGATCCCGTAATATCTTAATTTCAAATTTAGTAAAAAATGGATCCCGTAATATCTTAATTTCAAATTTAGTCGGAGCACGGTTCAATTGGACATTTAAAAAGAAAAAGAGAAAACTAACCAAAGCCCCTTCAAAAACCAAATCCCCAATTACTTTTTTTCTTTCTCTTCTCTATATACATTATACACCCATGACATCTCCAACTATCTCAACCACCAATTTCTAGCTCCCTACACAACCAAAGCAAAACCATGGCGGTTCGCGCCATGAACAGCTGCGTAATTTTCCGTTCCGCCGCAACGCCGCCGCTCGCCGTATCCCGCCGATGCTGCTGTCTCCGTCTATTAACAGCCTCTTCTCGACATAGAAACCGTTTGAATTCACATTCATTTCTCCGTTGTGCGCCTTATCCTCTCAGCCATGTCACCGTTCGTAGCTATTCAGTTCAAAACCTCGTCGAAATGGTTATGGAAGAGCTTGCTTCTATACACAAACGTGGCAGAGTTCGTGCTACTAGCAAGTACCTTCTTCTCATTTTGTAGTACCGTTATGAATTCTACTGAACATTTATTTCTTTTTGGTATATTAATGTGTATATAGATACATATGAGGCAATAAGTTATAATACATACTTGTTTTTTACTGTGTCAATTGAACACTCCAACTTACACAATGATTATCTAGACACCTCCAAAGTTTATGTGTCATGTTAGTGTCGGGTGTCCACGAGACATAGCTTGGACGAGTTGGAGTGTTTAGTTGTTGGTTGAGATTAAGATGAGGTGTTTAGATGTTCACTCTCAAAGTTTGAGGCTTTGAGCGCTTATTTACCAGTTGAGGCCAAGTTTGAGTATCTGTTTATGTAGTATGTCTACATATGGTAAACATATTTTATAGATAATTAGTGTGCATGTATATATACATATATATTTGGCTAGTGACTGTAATTATTTTGGTCGAATAGCCAAATGTGTTAAAAGCCCTTAGTTTTACACGATTTTTGTTAGAATTGTTGTTTTTTGAGGTCTAAAATCAGGAGTGGTTATTGTGGAATCTTTTATAGGCTGGAATTAGTAAGCACAGGAGAGCTGCTTGAGGACAAGTTGAAGAAAGGGACACTACAAAAAGGATTATTGCTGGAGTTCAAGAAGGATTCTGAAAGGTTGTTGCTAGCAGTTGCTCTTAAACCTGACGGAAAAAAGAATTGGATGGTCTCTGATCAGGTGTAAATAGAAATACTTAAAGAGTTCGTTTTACTGGATTTCTACGCTTATTTGCTGCTTAGGCACTGATGCATTTTTAGTTTATTTTATTAATTTTTAATGATGCAGAATGGGATTACAACCTCCATTAAGCCACAGCAAGTGACTTTTATTGTTCCTGGTGCTGAAAATTTTGAGCCCACAGAAATATCAGAATTTGTACAGAAAGCTCATGATAACTTGGTTGGTTGTCTCTTGTTGTTTAATTGAATTTTCTTGCTACACGATAACGAGAGACAATATACAGTTCTGTACTCTTTTTTAGGATAAAGATTGAATTTTTTAGTGCCCACTGATAGGATCCAGCACTGCTTGAATTTGCATGGAATGAGCTTCTTGAGAAAAATAAATCAGTAACAGTTCAAGAACTAGCTGAGGTAATCTCTCTGTAAGTCATGATGTTGACATTGATTGTTCTTTTAATGACCTTTTTTTGTCCTACCAGATGATATTTGGTAGTGCGGAGCCTCTTGAGACCTATTGCGCCCACCTGCTGTTATCAAGAGATGAGGTGTACTTCGCAGTTCTGGAGTCAAAAGGTCTTTCTGTATATGGACCTCGGACTGCTAACCAGGTGATACAATCTTCCATCAGATATTTTGGTCAACTGAAAATGCATCATCTGTTCTCATTTGGTCTTAGATGACTGGACATTTTCTTGTGCTCTATATGTTGTTTCGTTTCCATCTCTGTTATCTATATCATTTTCTCTTTTATGAGCTTTTTCCTATTCTTTTCTATTCTGGTATTTGTTTCTGCGATTGTTCCTGGATTGAAGATCTGAGATAGGTGTGTTTTGGCAGATCTTGATTGCTTTCAATGGAGCATGATTTGTTTAGATTTATATGAATGGGATTATCTTTGTAATCTGATAGAATCCATTCAGGCAATCTGCTCAAATGTTAAATAATAGGGGCTAGCACATGAACTTCCACCTGTGTACAAACTAACTGGACAGGAAGAAGTAAAGTCCATCCGGATATTAGATAAGAAACTAATGAAGGGCAGCCCGGTGCATAAAGCATCCCACATTCACACAGGGGTCAGGGAAAGGCCGCACCCCACCGGAAGATTGTGATATAGACCCTAATGCAAGCATTAATGACTGCTTCCACGGCTCGAAACTATGACCTACAGGTCACACAGAGACAATTTTGCCATTGCTCCAATGCTCCCCTTCATTCGATAAGAAACTAGTAAAACCGCAAAAAGATTACATTTAGAGTTTCTCTCTTTTATAGTCATATATATATAGATAGATATTTTGATACCTGTATGTTTAGATAATTTTTGAATTATTATCGTATAAAAGATCATAGGTGGATATTAGTGTTTAAATCTAGAGAGCCTAAATAATTGTAACATTTTTTCCATCAGTCTTATGATGTAGTATTAATAGAATGTAACTTTTATGATAATAAGTTCATCAAGTATTTTCCTTTACACCTGATATTTCCACACCAATGTCTTTTAATATAATTTATGTGTGTGTATTAAATGTTTGGGTAAGATCAATGAATTATTCCTCTTGCCACTACCATGCGCAACACACATGCATGCGTACTTGTGTGTTTTACTTGTTCCATCAGTTCATAACATTGTATAGAGTTACCTGAAGACTTGCCTTTGAAACTTCCCATCTTTCATGGTTGCTTCGCTAACATTTTCTCTCTGTATTCTTACTTTGCTATATGAATGCCTCATTTTGCTTATCTCTCTTCAATGCAAGTAACTGCCTGGCCTAAAAATTTAGGTGGATGAACTTTTGCGAAGGAAGCTTGCTAAAGAGGCCTCAGAGAAGGAGTTTGAGGAACTAATACAGCTTCTGCGATCTGCTAAACAAATGCCTCCTCAAGACAAACCCCCAAGATCTTCTTGGAAGGCTGAAGAGAAAACTTGGCACAAGATAGAGTCTCTTGAAGCTTTTGCCATTGATTCTTGCAAAAAGGACGATCAAAAGAAAACAGCTGGGATGGTAATTAATTACCTTCTTAACCTTTGGATATTGGATATCTTGTCAAAAAAAAAAAACCCTTGGTTATTGGATGAAAAGTCTCCTGAATTTATTTGAGAATCACAATTATTATCTTTGTTAAGTTAGGCTGTGTTTTTACTGCCATCTGAAGGACTTGTGCTGCTTTCCTGTTGAGTTGCTAGGTTATGCACAGCTTTCCTTTATCAAAAGGTCGGAAAACTAAAAGAGAAACCTGTATCATGTTGTTTGTCTTCCTTTCTTCTAGATTTTGAAGGCCATGGGACAGGCAAAGACTTCATCTGCAGCAGTGAATCTCCTCATAGATATTGGGTATTTTCCTGTACATGTAAATCTTGATTTGTTAAAGTTGAACCTCCCTACTGATCATCGGGATGAGATTCTGTCGGCCGCAGAGAGTCTTTTGTCTGCATCGACTGACCTTGATGAGGTATTGTTTCCTTTAAGATTTCTACTTGTGACATCAACGTATGTATCTATATTTTTGCCATTCTGGCTGTACTATTTTGCCTTTGGACTGGGGTGTTACAGATTGAGTGTGGATTCCTCTGAGTCTAGCTTTTTTGGTGTTGCATTTTGTAAAATTCCAAATTCTTCTTATTTCATGTTTCTTTTGTACTTTTGGTGGTAGCGAAAATTCCATTTGTATAGAGGATTGTGACAGTATGTTAAAACAAGATAATTGAGCCACTGAACACCATAATTTCCAGTACCGTCTTAGTGTGACGTCAATGAAATAATTTTGATTTATATAAAATCCAAGTTCTAGCAAACTTGTCACGTTCTTGATGCGTGGGAAGACTTGCCTTAGAAGGAGCAGATGAAGTTTTTATGTCAGAAAACATTTTTTTTAATTTGTCTCTTTGCCTTTCTGTCAACAGCAAAGGTGTTACATGCTGATTAAAAAGTTTGTGTGCGCGCACAGATACACAGAGAGAGGGGGGAGGGGGGGAGATGTGACCACAACAACATACCGAGTGTAACAAGTGGGGTAAGGGGAGGGTAGGATGTACGCAGATCGTATCCCTACCTTTGTGGGTAGAAAGGTTGTTTCCAATATACCCTCGGCGAAAGAATATGTGACCATTAGCTTTATTATTGCGCCCGCGAAATTGCTCCAGTGGCTTTAGAGGAGAATTTGGTCAAACTAGGATTCTAATTTTTTTTTTGATAACCGAGAAATCCGTCTGTGACCCGCCCTTTGGACCAATCACAGCCTTCTAAACTCGGTGGATAATGGGCCCACCCCTCTCCACTTAAATACCGGGCTTCGCTTTGCATGGTGTGGGGCTTGAACCTGCGATCTAAGCCACAAATGCTCCACCTTTTGCCATTCAAGCTAGGCCTTGGGGGCTGGTCAAACTAGGATTCTTGATTAAAAAAAAGGTTCTATTAGAAATAAAGGAGAATTTTTTAAAGTGGAATTCAATGTCTCTTTTTTTCTATTTGTGCAAAACTTTTGGTTTCACTGAAAACCTATTGGTTTGTCTAGAACCATAATAGAAACGTTCATTGCCTAAACAATTCTGAAGCATTTTTTATTTCTAAACTTGTTCTTGTCCATTTTTTATATATCTTATCAAGCATTGATTTACTGTTGTTTTGGTGCTTAGGCTGATAGAATAGACCTGACTCCCTTGAAGGTTTACGCGATTGATGTTGATGAGGCTGATGAGGTGTGTTATACATTGTGGTTTCATGGGAGAATTATGTCTTGTGTGCTTTGACTGTGTGTTGGAGTTCTAACATGCAATTTTCTACAATATAATTCTCAAAGTTCCTAAAGCATGACTATTGCAGCTTGATGACGCATTGAGTGCAACAAGGTTGCAGGACGGCCGGATTAAAATTTGGATACATATTGCAGATCCTACTAGTTTAGTTCAGCCAGGAAGCATAATAGACAAGTACATCATCTTATGCCTAAAATTTTGATTTCAGTGATATCTTTGTGAGGTATTATTCTAATATTGCTTTCTTTGCAGGGATGCAAGAAGAAGAGGAACTTCAATATTCTTGCCTACTGCAACATATCCAATGTTCCCTGAAAGGTTGGCCATGGAAGGCATGAGTCTGCAGCAAGGAAAGCTGTGTAATGCTGTTTCTGTGTCTGTTGTGCTGCGTTCTGATGGCAGGTTAGTTATTAATGAGAATTGTACTGAGAATTTTGTTGTCCGCTATCCCATCAGTTCTGGAGTACAGGAATTTGGGGCTTTCAATGTTGGATCCTGATTACTGTATCTCTATTGGGTGTATTATTGAGAAGTTTCTTAAATAATCATTTAGGGTTGCTTCTTGGCTTAACCTTCTGTATAAAAATGATATATGTCATGAACTGTCAATTGTTTGTCTCATTTTCTGGATCTTGAAGATTGGTATGATATCAGGAACTTATTATTTCAAAGAGAACTGGTTTCTAAATGAGGTCATGCTTTGGATTTAAAAATCTTAAGAAATGAACATTTTAGAGAAAATCATTAACCTAATGGATTTGGCAGCATTGCAGAATACTCGGTGGAAAACTCAATCATCAAACCGACATATATGTTGACATATGAGAGTGCAACGGAGCTCCTTCATTTGAATCTTGAAGAAGAGATTGAACTGAAAATTCTTTCTGAAGCAGCTGCACTCCGGTTAAGATGGCGTCGAGAACAGGTAGTAGCTTCTTATCTGCCGAACTTCAAATTATCTTTCCTATGTGTAATTATTTGGCCGTTGATGGAAATTAAGAGCAAGTTTCACCTTTCTCCACCGCACTCTTATTGAGAGGAGCTATTGTCCCAGCTACGTGTATATTGTTGGCTGTGTTTTACATAAGTGCTTGTATACTATCTTAGCCATGTTTGGTTTTGCATTTGCTGCAGTCAGATGCTTGCTTATATACTTCAACACTTCATGAGAAGTATCTGGCCCATGATTGTATTCACAATTTTGCATTCTCGATGTTGTTTGAGATTTTTTGAATTTTATGTTTGCACCTATTATGCTCTGCTTCTTTTGTTTGAAGCTGCTCTTATGCAGCTTCAGATTGATGCTGTAGTATGAGGTCTTGTAGTAACATTTAAAAACTTCTATAATTGGCATTCATGTAATTATTTACTACTTCTGCATGACATTATCCATGTTGGTTCTAGTGTTTTAAGAAGATTGTCTACTGTTGTGCTGCAGCGTATTCTGATTCTCAAGAACCAAAAATTGACAAGGAATGTTTCTGCAGGGTGCTATAGACACAGCCACCATAGAAACCCGAATTAAGGTGACTAATCCAGATCATCCAGAGCCGTCAATCAAGCTGTATGTTGAAAACCAGGCTGATGCAGCTATGAGGCTTGTTTCTGAGATGATGATACTCTGTGGGGAAGTTATAGCCACTTTTGGTTCTCATAACAACATCCCTTTACCATACCGAGGACAGCCTCAATCTAATATCGACGCTTCTGCATTTGCACACCTTCCAGAAGGACCCGTTAGGAGTGCTGCTATTGTTCGAACTATGCGTGCAGCTGAAATGGATTTCAGGAATCCTATACGCCATGGGGTGTTGGGACTTCCAGGCTATGTTCAGTTTACCTCCCCTATTCGAAGATATATGGATCTCGCAGCCCATTATCAGGTGAGCTCTTCAAAGTACTAGTGCTGCTAAGTTTTTTTGCAGTTGTGACAAATGAAATTGTTCAGCCTTATCTATTAGACTGGACATTCTTGAATTTGCAACTTGGCAATGCCTATGAGATATGCATGGATTGTTTTCTACATTGTAATCGAGCTTGGATAGAAACCTACATAGAGTTGTTTTTGTTCATGCAAGTATATAAGTAATGCTTTCTCATTCATTGATTCTTTCATTTTCCCATATCAAGTAACTTTTATGCGTGCAGTTATCTTCTCATTTGTCTACCATGTTAATGAATTGATTCTGCAACATATAGCTTTGAGCCTTAGCAGTGTGTGCATGATTAAAATGGCTACAACATTTTGTGAGGTTCTGATGTTCATTTTGCTGTATATATAGGTAAAAGCCTTTCTTAGTGGTGATCCTCTTCCTCTCTCAGCTGGGGAGCTAGAAGGCATAGCGTCTTCAGTAAACATGACAACCAGAGTTGTAAGGAGGCTCTCCAGCAGCAGTCTTCGTTATTGGATATTGGAATACTTGAGAAGGCAGCCGAAAGGGAAACGGTATCATGCCCTGGTCCTTAGATTCATCAAAGACCGAATAGCCACAATACTGTTGACGGAGGTAAGAATAATTTCTTTGATCTATGCTGGATACCAGAATTGCAATTATTGATTTGCCACTCTTTCAGCATGTGAGATGTGTTCAAAATATGCCTATAAATGTTTTCTAGGTTACTCATGTCTAACATGAATCTTGCTGTTGACCCTTTCTTACTTTTTACCTCTGTTTCTACATTGCTCACCCCTTTTCTTTCACAAAGTCAATTTCTCGCTTTTTAGTCAATCTTTGAGGTCCCTATCTATCTAAATTTATGTGATACTGGAAGCAGCACAGATTCAGACCCCTATAGAAAATGAAGTGTGACCAAGGCTCTTCCTCGCATCCACCCTGTCTGACTAATTGGGGCATGCTAAGCCTTCACTTATGTATGCATTTGAATTTGACTCATTGATGCTAAGCATTTCAAATAATCATATTATTCAAATAATAATATTATGTGGTTTAGGATTTATATGAGATTGCCCAGCTCGAGATTTTTATAAAGGATTGAGCAGATATGTTCTGACAGGCAATAAATGAGTTAAAAGCCTCTTGTATTTTGTAGTCGCTGGGATTTTGGTCTAGTGGTAAAAACACAACTCGTGATGTGTGGGTTATAGCCGTACTGGTACATCATTGTTTTGAACCCTGCTGGAGACAAAACCATTATATTTAAGTGGAGAATGATCTTATATTTGGTAATCCCCAGGGCTATGTTCTAGTGATAAGAACCTATTGTGTGATGTGTGGGTTAGACACACGTATTGATACGGACTCAACTAGTATTTAAGCCTGATATTTAAGTGAAGAATGGCAGAGGAGTGAGTCCCATAGTTCGCTGGGTTTTGACCCCTGTGCTAACTGGCTCTCTGGGATTTCTCAGTTACCAAAAGAAAGTGTCTTGTATGGGATCATTAAAGCACTGATTTAAGGCAATATTAGGGCTGTTTTATGAGTGCAAGTCGACACAAGTTATGATTAATTGCTGCTCATTTTCACCAAGTCATGTTTTTCATGTTTGACCTCTACTGATCTTGACTTAATATGTGCCAGAATTGGTGCTTGAAAATGTGGAACGCTTAGAAATTTTAGCGCAAGCCTTGTTACTTTCCCCGAATCTCTCAAGATTAACCTGAGCAGGGAATATCAATTTGTCCCCTCTCCCTTTCTCTGAGACACATACCAGGCACCAGTATAGTATGGTCAAAAGATATTCCCATGGTTTTCATCGGGATTAATGGTTTCTGGTTGTTCCTCTTTTCATTCTTGCTGGTTTTTGCTATAATCTAACGCAAACCTGTTGCAGATTGGAATTCAAGCTTCTTCGTGGGTGTCTATTGGTGTACAAATTGGTGATGAAGTAGATGTGCAAGTTGAAGAAGCTCATCCACGTGATGATATTCTCTCTCTTAAGGAGGTTGAGGCTGTATAGGATATTTGTTCGTGGAGACCAGAAAGCTTATGATGGAAACAAGTGTTCCTAACATTTTGTTGCAACACTTAACGGAATAGTTCCTCGTGCATGTGTTTAGATGACTTTTCTCTAGTGAGGGACTCAGGAAGCTCCTATAATGATTCTCACCTCAATGACAAGTTGATAGTTTATATACATGTTGGAGATACAACCACACAAAGGCAACGATGTTTCTTGCTGTTGTCTTCATTTGAGCTTTGAAGTTATATCTGGACAGTGGAATTTGAGTATCGTCCATGTATCTTTTGACGTTTGACTGAGCTGTACAGATTTTGGTCAATATGTACAAGTTTTCAGTCCGTCTCTTTTCGTCTCACATCATCAAGAAGTTCAGTAATGGTTGGGATTTATAGAGGATAGGTTTCAATTTAATTTGGTTTCTGCCTAAGAGCACATATGGAGATTGATTGAATTCAATGTATCAGTTAGTTACTTTGTATTGCCCTCATGGAGCCAGAAAGTATAAGAGGTATTTCTCATTCTTTGCATTATTCTTTCTCCATTTTACTCATTAATGTTGGCTTTAAGAGTTGATATAATGTTTCTTCTCATCTACCGAAGCTTTGGTGACAGACTTATATGGTCTTTACGTTGGTGAAAGGTAGCAAGTACCTAGTGGAATAGAAGAAGTGTATACAAGTTTGGACGGAACATTACCATTATAAGAAAAACAGTACTCTCTTCATTTCAATTTGTTTGTAACTTATGGATATATATTTAGAATTATGCTTCAATCTAAATAATAGATGGAAATTACAAGATCTAATATAAATATTACCATCTACTACTATTTCTTAGTCCCTACCTCCATGTTCTGTGTTGGATATTTTTACATATTATTTGAGGACCCCTTCAAGAAAAGTAAAAAAAAAAAAACATGTGGACTCATTTTTGTAGAAAATTAATTGTGTAAAGGCCATAAGTGACAGTAGTTCTGTGAAAATGAATTTTTTTTATAGTACAAGATAATCGATCATTTAATTTTCATATCTGTGAAATTTGCTGTCTCCTTTTTGGGAGGTATATACACATGCTCACAATTCAATTATTTATGTTATCACCATCCCCCCTCCCCCACCCCCCACCCCCCACCAACAATCACCCCCGACCTTAGAGAAATAATTTTAACAGCTTAGTTGGTTGGTTATTTGAACTTTCAACTTGTTGGTAACGGTTCAATTCCTCACTTTATAAACCCTTTCTCAATTCCAATTTGGATCATTTCTCGATTTGTGTGTGTTATCTTTTTTTCATCTCGCATTTGAATCTTTCTTCTTGATAACTCGAACCTATGACTTTAAGGTTAGAGATAGAAGGTGCTTGCCATTTGAGATATATTATCATCTTGTCCCTTTCCTCTGCCCTCCAATTTATTTTTTTTAATATAAAAGAGAGAAAATTATTAGCATTCCTTAATCTTGCGAATGAAACAAGTGGACTTGCAGTCTTTTGCTTAGTTAACACATTGATAAAAACATGTTCTTAAAGGAATGTGTTTTTTTTAGATTAATATTTTTTTTTCTCTATGATTGTTCTGTTTTTTCTTTATATATATTTTTAATCAATTTTCGTGTAGTTGATAATCGACAACTTGAAAATTTGCCCATGTTATGAACAGATTTCTTTAAATTACCTTTTTTTTTCTTTAATTTTCTTCTATTTCTTTTAAATCAAGAACCAAGTTGGATAAGATTCTTTATTATTTTTTTCACATTATTACGATATGTAAGATTAATGCAAGATCAAAAATATTGATTTTTTAAGCTTTACTTTGTTTAATTGAGCATATGGTCTATTAGAAACAAGTTCTTTGTCTTCCTAAGATATGAATAAAGTTGTGTACACACTACACACTATTTTCCTCTGACTCTCTTGGTTGAATTACACTAAATATATTATTGTTATAAAAGAATCTCAACTCTAATATTCTACCTTTTTTTTTATTGAATCACCTCGTCTAATTTATGATTTTTGAAGTTTATGAATTTGAAATTTATATTATTAAATTTTTAATTAATAATTTATGTATATCAAATATATTTCTTAAATAAGTCAATCTTAGGTTAAAATTACTCAATTCTACTAAATTTATAACCCAAATTGTACATTCAATTTCGGGGAAATTATGGAGAATAGCAAACATTTAGCATATTAGGTACTATAGCTACTGATCTACAGTTTAAGAAAATTATAATTCACGGCTACAGTTTCTTTAATTTTCGTTATTCGCTTAATTTGTATAATTCGTCTGATTTATATGAATCCATAATTTGTATAATTCGGTTCCTGATGGTATAAATCCAGAATTGACAAGCGAAATATACAAACGGAGTTTTGAAAAATTCCTAAATACATAATACATACTTACTCAATTTGTATATTCGCAATAGAAATTAAATATACAAACGGGCAGAAATATACAAATCGCAGTTTCCATAACAAACAAAACTATAGCTATAAAACGCAATTATCCAAACTATATCTATAGAGCCTTATTATTTCAATTATATTTGTTATTTCTAAAATTTTCTTATTTAATCTATCGTCTTTATAATAAATTCTTAACTCAGTCACTCATTAATATAGACAAAAGAAGACTTCTTGTTGTTGGAGAATCAAGTGTTGTGGTCGAAAAAGTATACATATTGTAATGCAATGTAATCATGTTCATGTTTTATCCATTTCAATTATAGAGCTAGAGTAGCATGCAAGATACTTTTCTATGAAGAAATTTGAGTATACGTATCATATAATATAATTAAGTTGTTTACATGCTAGCTTGCATCTCAAATTTTCTATCGATAGTTGATACCAATAAATACATGATAAATCTACAATCGATCATTCAATTGTAATAATACGTCCCAAATATCATATTGTTAACAAAATTATACATATAATAACAAGCTTTATTTTATTAATTCAATCGATACGATACGATACATAAAATAACAAATCAGTCGACTTTATAATAGGAAACTGCAATTTTCATAAAGGCAGGTTTATAATGAAGAAGTGCCCCCACCCTTTTATCCAAAAAAGAAAATTTTAAGCAACATTTAAGTTTTCTATTTTTTAATACCTTTAAATAAGTGAAAAGTTAAGCATAAATGTGAGGAAGCATTATTATTTTTGTTGCAATGTGTGTAATGACCAACAATGTGGTTGGTTGAGTAGTTAATAATTTTTAAGATTTTTCAACGTTTGAATTTTGAATATTTGTGGTTTAAATTTGTAGTTTTCAAATAATGGTAAATGTGCAACCAGGACCCTAGAGGTGTATTTAGTATGATAGAACTACTTTTAAAAAAAAATAATAATAATAATATTATCTCCATATAAAGATCTAATTTTTTGAAAATATTTTATTGGGAAGTATAAACCAATACAATGTTACAGATACTAATCAAAATAATCGAGAAAAAAATGACTTCCAATAATATTATTTCTATTTCTTTATCGTTAATCAGAGATGATCTCAATTCGAACGGTAGAATAAAATCGTTTTTAATAAGAAATGTTTTAATCTCAAGATGAGACTTTTCGTCACTAATCTAGATGGTTGACCACTTATTCCTTCTAGTATTTTATTGGGAAGTATTGACTAATGCAATGTTAAAGTTAATAATTAAGATAATTGAGAAGCAAAATGACTTTAGATGATGTTATTTCTATTTCTTCGTCATTAATTAGAAGTCTCAATTTGAACCTTAAGAATGAAATAGCTTTAATAAAAAATGCTTTAAAATCTCAAGATGTGACTCTTCGGCACTTCTGGATTGAGACGCAGTGGGTATCATATTTGATAGTTAGTTTAGAGGTAAGTTATTTATGTATAAAAATTAATATGGTGTTTGATTTGCAATTTAAAACCACACATAACAAATGCATGTATAAGCTATAAGAAAATTTATGTATTATTTTATATTTAGAATAAAAAGTGAAATAAACAATATAAAAATAACGAAATTATACATTACTAATAGTTATACAAAATAATATATAAATTTTCTTATAATTAATTCCTACATTATTAAATACACATAACCCTAATTAGCTACCAAACGATCCGCAATTTTACATGACTTTTTATTCTCTTCTTAAAAGTGTGTGTATATATAAAATCCGTATTGTATTATTGTTAACTTTTTGTGGATAAGTCTATAAGGTTGTTGAAGGCATATAACGAGTCTCGCACTTTCTATAATTAGAATCTAATTTTTCGATACGAATTTAAATTTAATTTTTTATTTTTATAATATTTCAATTTACTATTACAATAACACCTACATTAATTGTCAAATATTTAATAAATTATACTTTTTTCGTCTCAATTTATGTTTCACTTTTCGTATTTTGAGATTCATACAAATATATCTTTGACTGTAAATTTTTCATACATCTTTTAAATATTTTGAATTGTTAATTATTGTGACTTATAGTACTTTTTACGTAATTTATAAATATATAAATTTCATTTAAAAAAGAGGAAAAGGACAAATATACCCATGAATTATCGTAAATGGTATGCAGATACCCTCCGTCATACTTTTGGGACATTGGTGCCCCTGCCGTCCAAAAACTGGAGCATATATACCCTTTTATACTGACAGGCATACACGTATCATAATCTAATCCACCGACCCGACATTTATTAAATATCAAATCGATGGATAAAATTGCGTCACGTGTTCCTATTTAGTCTTCTATTAGAGTGAAGGGCATATATGCCCTAGTGTTTGGACGGCATGGACATCAATGTCCCAAAAGTATGACGGATGGTATCTGCATACCATTTACGATAGTTCGGAGATATATTTATCAATTTTCCCTTTAAAAAAAATTAAAGATTTCATGCGTAAATTACCAATTAAACATAAATTGTTAATTCTCAAAAAATGAAAAGCACTACATAAATTAAGACAAAAAAAATACATATTTTATCTAAATAATTTTTTTTGAATTCACGTAAATTTATATTCGAGCTTCTAAATCCGCCCCAATCTAAAAAGTGAACAAGGTGGGTGTTCTCAGCGAGCCACCATAAATTCAGCTGACACTACGGCTAATTAATTCTTGGTCAGCTAAAATGGTTGGTATATAGTTCACATGTCTACACGTGTACATGCACACTAGG